TTTTGCTCAAGGCTGGCACTCTACCACATGAGGCACAGCACCACTTCCAGCTTTTCCTATTTATGTGCTACTGAGGAATGGAACCCATTGCTTCATGCACGCTAGGCAAGCGCTCTACCACTAAGCCACCTTCGCAGCTCTCCAGTGTGGGCATCTTCTACTCCTGTCTCTCAGACCCCAGACCTCCCTCCACGCCCTCTCTTCCCCCCACCCCACACTGGGCTGGACCTGGAGACCCAACAGTGCTTCAAATTCTAAAGTTAGCTTGCCATGACTTAAACCCAGTGGTCTACCTTCCTGCTTCTTTTCCCTATGACTTCCTTTTTCCTTTTTCTATGTGTGGGTATTTGTGCTTGGCTTTTTCACTCAAGGCTAGCATTGTCTACTGGAGTCACATCTCCAGTTCTGGCTTTTTGGTGAGAATCTCGTAGACTTTTCCTGCCCAGGCTGGCTTCAAACCTCCATCCTCAGATCTCAGCCTCCCCAGTAGCTAAGATTACAAGTGTTTTCCCCCTGTTTGGCACTTGTGGGCTACTTGAGACTTTTCCAGTCCCTTGTCCCGAAGTATAAGTTTGTTTGAGCCCCCATGCCTGCCTGGGCTCTGGGCATAGCTGGCCGTCCCCTCACCGCCTGTGCCTCCCCGGGGTCCCCATCCCCTGTCAGCTCCGTGTCCCCTCCAACCTGACCCTGCTGCCTGGACATCTATACATGATGGCTGAAGTCCTGGCCAAGGAGGAGGCTCGCCGCGCAAGCGAGGTGCCCTCGTAAGTCTTGGGGACTCCTGGCTCAGGGGTTCCGAGTTGGGAATGGGCAGAGCAGGTGTGGCTGATGGTGGGCAGCGAGCTGAGTCTGTCGGCATGGGGTGCAGGTCTGTTAGGGGTGGGGGTGGGGGGCAGAGCAGAGCTAGGACTCTAGGGGCAGGTGATGGGGAAGGGCGTGGCCTGAGCTCTGGGGCGGGGCTATGGTGGGAGGGCGGGGCCTGGATCTGGGGCGGGGTTATGTGTGGAGGGGCGGGGCCTTGGTGGGGTAGGCGTGTGTCGGGAGGGTGGAGCCTTGGTCTGGGCGGGGCTATGGCCTCTGCTCTGAGGCTATGTTGGGGGCGGGGCCTGGCTCTGGCGCGGTTATGTCGGGAAGGGCGGGGCCTGCGCCCCCGGGGCGGGGTCATGTTAGGAATAGCGGAGCCTGCGCCCCCTGGGGGCGGAGCTGTTCCCAGTTGCTGTGGTTTGGTTTTAGGTGCTTTATGAAGGTCAGCCGGCTGGAGGCACAGCTGCTCCTGGAGCGCTACCCTGAGTGCGGGAACCTGCTGTTGCGGCCCAGCGGGGATGGCACAGAAGGTGGCGTGTCTGTCACTACCAGACAGATGCTCAACGGGTGCGCATGCGCGACTCGGAGCCCTCCGCGGTGGGGGTGAGGGTTTGTGGGTCAGAGGTTAGGGCGGAGCCACCCCTGAAATCAAGTTCGGCTTTGGGGGCAGGGGCGGCACGCCGGGCGCGGGGCTCAGTGCCTGAGAGTTAGACTGCGCTCCTCCGGCCAGTCAAGATGAGCAGGCCGACCTGGGCAGGCCTGTCAATCAAAGCCCGGCGCTGGTGGCTCCTGCCCGTAATCCTAGCTACTCAGGCTGAGATCTGAGGAGCGAAGTTCAAAGCCAGCCTGGGGCTAGGAAGTCCGAGAAACTGTTACCTCCAGTAACCACTAGAAAACCGGGAGTAAAGCAGAAGCGTTCAGGGACAGCGCCCAGCCCGAGGAGCTACCAAAAGAAAACAATACAAAGTCAAGCCCAGCGAGAATGGGCCTTCGAACGGGATAGGGCAGGGGGCAGAGGTCACGGAGTCCCGTTCAGGGGTCGACCTGAGGGCTGACAGAGCCTGGACATCCGCCCTGAATCCTCCAAGGCTGTAATCAGATCTCGGTACACAGGGTGGAGTCAAACCTGGAGGCGGGGCCAGGGAGGGGGCGGGCCGCTTAGAGGCGTGGCCACTTGCTAGGTAATCCTCCAATCAGGCGGGCCCAGGCAAAATCGGAGGGCGGGGCCGGGGAGGGACGGGTCGTGGGAAGGCGTGGTCAGTGCGAGGCGCTCCTCCAATAGGGCGGGCCCAGCTCTGGGAGGGGGCGTGGTTTCGCGGGGGCGGAGCCAGGCAGAACCCGTTCCTCAGCCGGGTCTCCGCGCAGGGCGCCCGTGGTCCGGCACTACAAGGTGAAGCCCGAGGGCGCCAAGTACGTGATCGACGTGGAGGACCCGGTGAGCATCGGCCCCGGGGTCCCGAGATGCGCGCTGGTGGTGGGGTCCGCGCCCTCCCCCCGTCTCCCTGACCGCGGTCTCCCATCCTCCCTCCCACCCCCCCACCCCAGTTCCCCTGCGCCTCGCTGGATGCGGTGGTCAACTATTTCGTGTCGCACACCAAGAGGGCGCTGGTGCCCTTCCTGCTGGAGGAGGACTACGAGAAGGTGCTAGGTGGGTGCGCCTTCGGGGGGGGGAGCCGAGGGGGGCCCAGTCTTCCCCTTCTCATGTCCCCATCGTCCAGAGGAAAGGGACAGCTTCTGGCCCAGCTTCTGGCCGCCGCGCCTCCTCCAGGTCGCCCTCTCTGTTCCAGGCTACGTGGAAGCGGATAAAGAGAACGGCGAGAGTTTGTGGGTGGCGCCCTCCGCCCCGGGCCCAGGTGACGCCCCCACCCCGAGGCTGCTGCTGGGGCAGAGAGGGAGGGACCCTGAACCCACCCCCTCAGCCTCACCCCCTCAGCTAGCACATACCCAGACCTCAGGAACAGAAGTGACCCCAGATTTAGGACCCTAGAGGATGGGAGAAGAGTGGGATGGGGGGGGGGGTAAGGGGGAGAAGAAATCTGGGAGGCTGGCTAAATCTAGGGTTCCCCTAGATCGGGGAGGAAAGGGGACAAAGCAGATGTGGTGTTTACTGACGACCCGGAAGGAATTTGTTTACCTATTTACTTTAGGGCTGGTCCTGGAGTTTGAACTGGACACGGTCCCTGAGCTTTGTGGGTTTTTTTCCTTGCACAAGACTGGTGCTCTACTTCTTGACCCACTGCTCCACTTCCAGCTTTTTTGATGGTTCATTGGAGAGAAGAGTCTTGGATTTATCCTCCTGGGCTGGCTCTGAACCTCAATCCTCAGGTCTGAGCCTGAGGACACAAGCGTTGTCCCATCAGGACTACATGCTATGTGGCACGTGTGTCCCTCGGAAGCAGCCAACATATGTAAACTCATCGCTCCATGGTGCAGTCATTCACAGATACATGTGCGCGCACACTACCTCTGCTGCCAAAGTGGCACAACAGCATATGCATGAGCGGTTTTGCATATATTCAAATTATGCAAATGCAAGCCCACGTGTGTCTCTATTACCTGGGGATACAAACACACTTGCATCCTTGTATGTACACAGCACCATGCTGTATCCAGGTATGCAGACAGACAGACTAGAGGTGTCAGGACCACCTGGGCCTTGACAGCGAACCCCCTTTTCTCCATCAGATTCTGTAACCCCTGCAAGTGTCCCTAAGCTGCCACCTCCTGTGCCTGTGCCTGCATCCAGCCAGGACAAACTGCCCCCCCTCCCACCCCTGCCCCCACTCCCAATCGAGGATGAGAACTACGTCACCCCCATTGAAGACACCCCATCTGTGGATTACGTCAATCAGGATGGTGGGTGAGGGCTGCAGAAATTGGGGTGGGGGTGCAGGAAGGCAATGGTGTCACATGACCAACCCCCCCATATTTGTGTATGCAGTGATTTCCGGTAGCCAGCCAGCCGTCCTGAAGCCCAAGAAACTGGCAAAGCTTCCAGTAAAGCCTCCAAAGCCACCCATCAGCCCCAAGCCAGGTAGGTAGAGCGCTTTCCTCCCACAATGCACTCTGGGAGGGCTCAGGCCTGAGCTCACCTCTGCTCCCCCTCACCCCACCAGAACCCAAGGCTATCAAGAGCGTCCCTGCCAGGAAGCTGATAGGCAGCTCGGCCCAGGCTCTCTTCCTCGCCACAAGTAAGGGGACTGTGGGGGTGGATGCAGGGTGAATTTCCCCCTACTCTGAGAGGTAAGACAAGGGAGCACTTTGTGGGTGGGATGATGCCTTTCAGCCTGTTTCCATTTGTGTCTGCATGGGAATCTATAGATTGGGGGGGGGGGGTTGTCATGACGGGAATTTCTGGCTCATCTGAAGCTGGGGTCCCGACCCCAACACAGGGCTAGGGGATGTGACGGCAGAGTTGGAGGAGAAGCTGCAGAAGAGACGAGCACTGGAGCACTGAGTCACCGAGATGCCGGGGACCAGCGGCTGACATTCAATTGCCCAGAATTAAAACTCAACAGACTCCCCCCCTACACACACACACACAAAGCAGGCTTGCTGGGCACTGGTGGCTCACGCCTGTCATCCTAGCTACTCAGGAGGCTGAGATCTGAGGATTGTGGTTCAAAGCCAGCCTGAGCAGGAAAGTCCTTGAGACTCTTATCTGCAATAAACCACCAGAAAACCGGAAGTGATGCTGTGGCTCAAGTGGTAGAGTGCTAGCCTTGAGCTGAAGAGGTGAGGGACAGCGCCCAGGCCCAAAGTTCAAGCCCTATGACCGACAAAAAAACAAAAAAACAAAAGCAGGCTTATGTGTTTGGCATGCTTGGGACGCTGGGGGTGGGGGGGCAGGGGCCCCTCAATGTCTGTGCACAATTGCCTCCATTACCTGAACTCTACAAGCCTGCTTGCCTGACCCACAGAGATGTGCATATCCTAGCGATTGGGGGTGGGGAGAAGCTCAAGGTCCTGGGGCCACACCAAAGAACCAACCCCACAGCCTGGCCAGTGTTTGACCTTTATTTGCAAGTGAGGGGAGAGGGTCACCCCGGTGTCCACACCTTGTTGGGGACCCCCACCCCTCACAATCCAGAGTTAAGGCTCCAAGCAGCACATGAGAGGGCTTGGCCCAGTTGAACCACCCAATGCCTCTGGCGGCTTCCCCCTTCACCCCCAAAGCACCCAACCGGTTTGTGTCTCTAGGTGAGACTGGTGTTGGAGCTGCTGGTGGCACTGCCCCGCTTCTGTAGACAGCGCACGGAGCTGGGGACCTGCAGACCGGTGGTCACCTGGAAGCTGCCACACCACACCTGGGAAGGGGGGAGAGGAGGGAGATCAGGGGAGCCCCTGCACCCACCCACCCTTCCCACCCCCTTCTCCGTTCTGTACTCCCCCTGGGCAGCCAGAAGGCGGCTCACCGTGAAGGCGGGCAGCAGCGGCTGCGTGAACTTGGCCTTGAATGTGTGCAGCAATTGTTTAGTGCGGGCGTTGTAGAAAGACAGGAGACCTGGGCGGGGAGGAGGGGGGCAGTGGGAGGTGTCACGGGGTGGGTGATGTCCCGGGCTGAGGCTCAGGCATGGGGGTGGGGTGGGAGGGCAGAGGTGGCTGGAGTCTTGGGGTCACCTTGATGGAAGTCACAGTGCACACCCAGGCAGTCGGGCACGGGGGCATCCAGCACCTTGACCTTGTTGGCGTGCTTGGCGGTGAAGCTGACCTGCAGCCAGTTGTTGACGTGGAGACACCAGGACGCTGCCGTCTTGCCCAGCTGCTCAAAGCGGCCCAGGCTGCGGTAGGCCACGCCTACACCAAATGCTTTGCTGTCTGGCTCATAGCGCACCTCCCAGTAATGCTCCCCGCCATCGATCATCGTGTCCCCTGGGGTGGGGGTGGGGAGAGAGGACAGAGGGACACTGGGTAAAACCAGGGCCATGTGGACTTCTACAGGAGCCCCAGCTACTTCCAAGGTCCTAGTGACTCCTGCCAGCTACTCCCAGGGTCCCAGCTACTCCTGCCAGCTACTCCCAGGTTCCCAGCTACTCCTCAGGCTTGGTAAACATCCTGTACATACTTAACAAAGCCAAGCCATAGGAACTACCTCCAATTCATGTCCAAATGTCCCTTGATTCTTCCCAGAAAGTGGTCCTCTCCTCCCCATGCTCTGGCTCCTGCCCACAGTTCCCCATGGGCCCACAGTCCACCTGGAGTCTGGATATCCCACTGGTTTTCCTGTCCCAGATCCTTCCCTGGACTCAGAGGCTCCTTCCTGTTGATCTCTGAATCCAGATCTCATCCAGGTCCCCTGCTCCACACACACATACCACCACCACCACCAGGGTCCTGCCCGGACCCCTCTCCCATTCTTACCCAGCACTGTGTAGGACTCGGCGGTGAAGCGGTCCCGGCCCCCACGGCTGGAGGGCGCCCTCTTCGGAGATGGAGTACCTCTGGGGAAAAGGGGAGAAGCTTGGTCCAGGCCTCACTTTCCACACAGGAGGCCTCCCTGGACCATTCCAGGCAAGGCCTGCTCCATTTGTCCCTGATAATACTCGGCTCAAGGCTAGTGCTCGACCACTTGAGTCACAGCTCCACTTCTGACTTTTTAGTAATTGAAGACAAGAGTCTCACAGACTTTCCTGCCCAGACTGGCTTCAAACCAGGATTCTCAGATCTCAGGCTCCTGAGTAGCTAGGATGACAGGTGTGAGCCACTGGGGCCTGGCTAGAAAACATTTTTTTATATTTTTTATTTTTTTGGTCAGTTGTGGAGCTTGAACAGTGCCCAGGCGCTGTCCCTGAGCTTTTTTGCTCAAGGCGAGCACTCTAACACTTGAGCCACAGCTCCACCTCCAGTTTTCTGGTGGTTCATTGGAGATAAGAGTCTCCCAGACTTTCCTGCCCAGGCTGGCTTTGAACTGCGATCCTCAGATCTCAGCCTCCTGAGATGCTAGGATTACAGGCATAAGCCAAACTCTACTTATAATCCCTCCTCCCCTCCCCCCCACTCACCCCCCCCCCTCCCATTCATGGTAGAAGGAAGCAGCCTGCTTCCTCCAGCACAGCTGCTCCCTAGCCTTCTGCTTCTCCTCCCTGTCCTGATCCCATTGGGCAGTGTGTGTGTGTGTGTGTGTGTGTGTGTGTGTGTGTGTGTGTGTGTGTGTGTGTTCCCCACCAGAGCCTTGGGAAGGGGAGTGGGGGAGGAAGGGAGGGAGGGGAGGAGGGGCAGGGTACCTGGCTGGGGAGTTGACAGGAGAAGCTGTCCGCCCCTTGCCATCTTTCTCTCGGGCCTTGATGTCCTGCACCTTCCCGCCCATGGCGTCCCATTCCACAGAGAGGTTGTCCACCCGCAGGTTCTGGTGGGACGTGGAGGCGTCCAGGCGGAACATGAATGCTGGGGCCGGGGAGACCAGGGAGTCACAGAGACGGGAAAACCCAGAGAGACACAGAGACACGGGCAGGCAGGCAGTGACCAAGACAGACCATCACAAGGACAGACGAGAGACAAGGAGACAGGCAGAAAGACACCAGGAGGTACAAGATAGGGAAGGAAGAATATAATATGGAGCCCAAGGGAGGTCTGGGGTTGCGGCCCAACTGCTTCTAAAGTCTATGAGAACTTTCTTTCCCCTCTTTTTCAATACTGGGGTTTGAACTCAAGGCCTAGGCCTTGCTAGGCAGGTGCTCTACCACTAGAACCATGCCCCTGATCCTTTTAGGGGCATTTTTCAAGACAATTGTTCTTCCCTGATTTTTCACCTCCAAGACAGGGGTGGAGTTACAGCAGGATGGAATTAAGTGAGAGAGCAAAGGAACTTCCCAGTGAGATATGCAAATCAACATGGGAGACCTGGTGAATCTGATATTGAAGGCATATATATATGTGTGTATATATGTATATGTATATATGTGTGTGTATATATGTATATGTATATGTGTGTGTGTGTGTGTGTGTATTCCAAGACAAAAGAAAAACAGCATGGTAAGAGGGCACCACGGTTCATGCCTGTAATCCTAGCTAATCAGGAAGCCGAAACTGAGAGATCCATGGTTCAAGGTCAATCCTGGCAAAAAGTTAGTCAGACTCCATCTCAAACAATACAAAGTTCAGCCCAGGCAAAAAGTGAGCCTCTCTCTCTCTCTCTTTTTACAATTGAGCTGGGCACTGGTATTTTATGCCTATAATCCTAGCTACTCAGGAGACTGAGATATAAGAATCATGGCTCAAAGCTAACCTGGGAGACTCGACATTTATTGCAAAAATCTAGAACTGAAGGCATGGCTCAATTGGTAGAGCATCAGCTGGGAGTGAAAAACCTGAGCAAGTCCATGAGGAAAAAAAAAAAGGGAAAGTGGAATAGAATGGTATCCATTCAAGCTAAGAATGCCATTGTGGACTCAGGTATGAGCTTCCTAGCGGCCAAGGCAACAAGGCCCACAGACCCCTTATTAGAGGATGACTGAGACACACAACCCCAGAGCACTGGGAGGGAGGGGGTATGTAGTCAGAGATAGGGATGGGGGAGGGGGCAGCTGGTCACCTGCTGTCTCCAAGGTCACTGGCTCAGAGAATTCACCTGCAACTGCCTTGTTACAGGCCTTCACCCGAAAGTTCATGTATTTCATGTCAAACTTGAGACCTGGATGGATGCAAGGGACGTCAGAGATATTTGGTAACACCTATCACTCTCCTCCATGATCCCATGGTTGCCACAATAAGGAACACCTTACAAGCAATTCTGTATCCCAACTCTTGACCCCACCTCCAAACCAGAGCAGCCAATGAGAAGACTTTATGGCCCTTGTCAGTGATTGGCTCAGAAATAGGCACATGATCCAACCAGACCAATCAGAGCCTGCCTTGCAACTTTGTTACTATGAGCTCCCTTCACAGACAATCTCTTCGTATGTTTTCTAAGCCTCTCTCATTATTATTAATGCCCCTGCTTGCTATCATCATCATCATCATCATCATCATCATCATCATCATCATGCATTGCTGGAAATGGAACCCAAGGGCATGAGGCCTGTTAAGTTTTTTGGGGGTGGGGTACAGCACATGGAACCCAGTGTCAGGCTCCCCGGAATCACACCCCATCGGCTCCCCAGTCTGACACTGGACTACACTTCTGACCTAAGCTGCCACGGCTGCAGGGAAAGTCTCCCCGCCCCCCCCCCAGCACTATCTCATTATCATATTATTATTTTGCAGCTTGCCGTACATCTGTAATTACTCCACAACAGAAAGTCACAATAAAATAAAAATAAAAAGCAGAAGGGTCTGGAGGTGAGCACTGTGGGTGCCTATTTTTAAGAGGGGGTGTGTTTGTTTTCATTCCCATGCAGAGGAGACACCAATAGCTTCTCAGGCTCCCAGGCTGGCTGGTGGCTTCTCTCCATAGCAATTAGCATGCTCATGATTAAGCATGTATGCTAATTACAGATAACTAGCGGCTGATTACAGCCCCCGGATGAGGGTGTGAATGTCACGTCTGCAGACGTGGTCTTCCCCGCTCAAGGCAGCTTTTTAAAACTCATTAGGGAACCCTGATATTTCCCGCCTTCTGATCCTCCCCCCTCCGGCTGGGTGGGTCCCCTGGCTTTTCTGTTTCTTGTACGTGCTGAGGAACTCTCCCAATCCCCAGCTCCGGCAGGCTAAATGGGCTTGGGGATCTTCGCACGGTGTGGGCGCTGATAACAGACCTAGGAGCGCGCCAGTGCGTGGCTGCTGGAGAGAGAATGGGGAGTGACAGGGTGGCCTCCCTTCCTGTTCCTCAGTCCCCTTCCCTGTCAGATGTGATGCACGGCCAGCCTGCTATATATGGACTTTGGAGGAGGTCAGTAGTCTCTGGATGATTTAATAGCTCCATGGACACCTGCAGAGGCTGAGGTATTCGGGGAAGATAAATAACTAGACTGGACTAGACGTGATTGGCCCCAGGTATACTCCTTTATCTGCCTAGGTGTACTGACTTACCTGTCCAGGTAGGCAGGTGTGCAGTCTTTACCTAAGCTGCCCAAGGATACTCCCTTACCTTCCCAGGTATATTCCCTCTGCCCAGGTGTGCTCCTTTACCTGTCCAGGTGTGCTCCCCTTACTTTAGCTGCCCAGATGTATGTCTCTTACTTGTCCAGGTGTATTACCTTTACCTGTCCAGGTAGCCCCCTCCCCCCACCTGTCCAGGGTGTGTGTGTGCCTTACCCATCCAAGTATGTTCTTTTACCAGTCCTGGTGTTATTACCCTTACCTGACCAAGTGTGCTCCCTTACCTAGCCAGGTGGGTGTGTCTTACCTGTCCAGGTGTTTCTTCATCTGTCCAGATGTATTGCCCTTACCTGTCCAGGTGTGTCCCCTTACCTAAATGCCCAAGTGTGCTTCTCTTACCTACCCAGGTATCTCTCTTATCTTTTACCAGTCCTGGCGTATTACCCTCACCTGCCCCCCTCACCTGTCAAGGTGTATTCTGTCTGTCGGATGCCCTCGATGACCATCCAGGGCTGGTCCTCCTTGAGGCGGGGCGGGCCCTCGAAGTTGGTCCTTCGATACTCCAGCACGTAGTGGTCGATCTTGCTGTCCTCATCCGGCATGCGCCACACCAGAGTCACACAGTTATCTGCCACCAGAGACTCGGCCAGGTCGATCACAGGGGCGCTGGGTACTGAGCAGGACAGAGTGAGAGGAGGTATCAGGGTTCTGTGTCCACAGGGGGTGCGCCAGGAGCCCGGGAGCCCCGTCCACTGCACGATGGCCTGTGTTGGGGGTAACCACCTGGGGCTGGAGCGCCCTCAGGCTTCCAGCCAGCCAGGAGAGAGGCCAGAGCAGGCTCAGGGTTCAGCCCACAGAGGACTGACTCCAGATTCCTCTTGGAGACAGGGTTTTCTGCCAGCTGAAGGTGGCATCCCTTAGGGCGCCACCACCACCAGGCTTTCTAGAAAGTTCCAGTTTGCTAGGAAGTGAGGACCTCTCCTGGCTCTGCCACTGGGAACAGTTTTTCCAGGACCCAACTGCTTAGTGAATGGGACTTCCTCTAGGCTTCACCTTTAGGTCTGCTCCATATGGGCTCCCTCCTGATACTCAACCAGGGCCCCACCCACAAGTGGGTGTGGCTTCTCCCGGCACCACCCACATTGGGCGTGGCTTCCAGAGATCCACCCACAAATGGGAGTCTCTAAGGCTCCACTCACACAAGACAGGTCATTGGAAAGCTCCATGCACAGATAGGCGGGCCTTCTGAGGGCTCCATCTACATATGGGCAGGGCTTGAATTGACTCCACCCTCTGGGCCTTGCTGGGATTCAGGCACCTACCTGTTGGTTGGGCTCATGCCAGGACCTTTCTAGGTGTTTCGAAGTCTACACCATTTTCCCCCAGATCCCTCCAGTGAGACCCCCCTCTCACCAGGCAGGAACTTCAGGGCCTGAAGCATCTGCCGCTCCTGTGCAAAGTCCACCATGAGATGACTCATGTTGTCGCTGACCTTGGCTTTCAGTGACAGCCGGAAGGCAGGGGCCATTGTCACCCTGCAGGGAAGGAGGTTTTCCAGGCTCCTGATTGTGAGGAGGGGCAGGTGTCTCCCCAGACCCCATGTTCTGAGTCCAGCACCCAAACCTGGGTGTTCCCACCATTACACCATGGGGAGACACAGGGCAGGGGCCGGATCGCAGCGTCTTACCCATCTTTGACTTGTTTGGCAGCCTAGAAAGAGGGATGGAACAGAATTCAGAGACCGGGCTCATCTCTAATAGAATTCATGGTTTGAAGACAGCCTAGGCAGAAACGTCCATGAGCCTCTTATCTCCAATAAACAAGAAAAAAGCCGGAAGTGGTGCTGTGGCTAAAGCGGTAGAGTGCTAGCCTTGAGCACACCCAGGCTCTGAATTCAAGCCCCAGGACCAGCACCAAAAAAAAAAAAAAAAAAAGAAGAAGAAGAAAAGAAAAGAAAAAAAGAGTCTCACAGGCTTTTCTATCTGGGTTGTCTTGGATCCACAATCCTTAGATCACAACCTTCTGAGTAGCTAGGATTACAGGTGTGAGCCACCAGTGCTCGGCTCCAATCTTTTTTTTTTTTTTGGCCAGTTCTAGGGCTTGAACTTTGGGCCTGGGCACTGTTCCTGGGCTTCTTTTTTGCTCAAGGATAGAGCTCTACCACTTGAGCTCCAGTGCCACTTCTGGCTTTTTTTCTGAGTAGTTTATTGGAGAAAAGCATCTCATGCACTTTCCTATTAGGCTGGCTTCAAACCACAATCCTTAGATCTCAGCCTCCTGAGTAATCTAGGATTACAGGCATGAGCTACCAGTGTCAAGCTTGCTTGCTTTCTCTCTCTTTCCTTCTCTCTCTTTCCTTCCTTCCTTCCTTCCTTCTTTCTTTCTTTCTTTCTCTTTCTTCCTTTCCTTTACATGCTGGTGCTGAGATTTGAATTCAGGACCTGGGCTTAATGTTGCATGCGTGGGTTACACACCGAAAACCACCTGGGTCCTGCCCCAGAGACACCCACCTGAGGGAAGTCATCGCTGTCCATGGTCTGTAGAGTCTGGTTGGCTGTCTCTAGCAGCTCCTCAGAGCTCTCCAGGGCCCGTGTGCAGGCGGCCAGTTGGTTCTGAGGGGAGCATGGCACCAATCAATCCACAGCTCACCATACAGCTTCACCTCCCGGGCATCTGCCCGCCACCTCCAGGATCCAGGCTACCACAGCCCTCTGAACTCCAGCTGGGAAAGGAGGCTGGTGCCTGGAGTACCTGGCCACAGCCTCTCCCCTCCCACCCCACCCCTCCCCTGGGAATCCCTCCCTGGAAAACACATGCCAGAGCCAGGCTCCAGTGGTTTATGCATGTAATCTTAGCCACTCTGGAAGATCCAGATTTGAAATCAGCCTGGGCAGGCACGCCCCCTGAGACTCTATCTCTGATTAACTAGCAAAATGCCAGACTGGAGGCATGGCTCAAGTTGATAGGATAGCTGTGACCAAGAAAGCCAATCCAGAGGGCTCTGGGTTCAAGTCTTAATTTGGGTACACAAGAAAACCCAAAACTACACGTGCCCAGGCTGATTTCTCCTGAGCTCCGTAGTCCAAGGAGGAGCCCAAGGGGGCTTGATGGAGATAGGGAACGGGTGAGAGACTAGGGGGCAGACGTTAGAGTCCACCATCACTAGGCTCTCTGCCTCTGGAGGCGGGTGGAGGGGGACTCCTGACCCCCCACCTGAAGCTCGTAGGTGCGGCTGGCTCGGTCCTGTTTAATCTTCATGAGCATGCCCTCCTTCAGCTCCTCCAGGACGGACAGCAAGGACTGGAACTCGGCTTCTAAGTCCTCCTGTACCTTGGTTGAATTTGCCTGGGTTGGAATGGCAGGGATGGGTTAACATCTGTGTCCAGCTGAAGAAACTGAGGCCAAGCGATCAGCCAGACCCGGCCACTTCCTGGGCTTTGGCAATAAGAAGCCAGTTCCAATGGCAGACACCCCCTGCCCTTTCCCCTTCCCCTCTCCACTGCCCGCCTCCTGTACCTCCCTTACCTCTACATTCAGCAGCATTTGCTTCAGTGAGTAGATAAAGCTCTGGATTTCTTCATTCTTCATCGCTAGCGTTGTGATGATCTTCCGAAGAGCCTCCTGTCCCACCAGACCACAAGTATCACACACACACACACACACACACACACACGTAAACTTCATGTGGCCTGGCCCCCTGCTCTGCCCTCAGGAATTCAGGGAGGAGCTATGGGGCCCTCTGGCTCTCTATAGAACTCACTTAGGAGGTGGCCACTTGTGAGCAACCTCATGGGAGGAAACTGAGGCCCAGGATGAGCCTCTTCACAGAGGAGCAGACCAGAAGCAAGTTTGCATGAGCACCAAATCTTCAACCTAATACCTACTTCTTGAAGGTTGCCCATGAACTAGCTGGAAGGGCTAGCCTGGGCAAAGAAACTCCCAGAAGGAAAATGGGTTAGCCTGGAAAAGAGCTACCTGTGGTCAGTACATCCACAGGGGAACTGGGATAGCCTGGGCTAAAGGCTAGCCAAGGAGCCTGGCCCCAGGAGCTGAGGTGAGCCTGAGAAAAGGAATTAACCAGAAAGAGATAACCTGGACAAAAGAAGGAGCCTTCAGAGAGCCCAGGTAAGAGGGGAGGGGGAAGGGAGGCTGCAGGGACAGGAAGGAAGGCCAGCCAGCTATTCCTGCTTCTGTCCCGCCCGCCCCCCCAACCCAGGACTAAGGCCTGAGGTCGCTAAGGTCAGTATAATGGAGCAGATTGCGCGGGGAGGGGCGGGGGGTCCTCAAGTCTAGGACGGTAGGCGTGGGGGATGGGGTCAGGGCTGGGACCTAGAGATGGGGGGGGGCACCCAGGAGAGGGAGGGTGGCTGCATGCAAACGGGGGAGCCGTGCACGGGGGAGGGCGCCGTGCATGGGGGTGGGGGAGCCGTGCATTGAGGTGGGGGAGCGCCGCAGCATGGCGGGGGGGGGGGGCTGCGGCATCACCTGGTCCCCACCCTATGCCCCACACCCCGTCCTACCCTTTGGTCTTCCATGGTTGCAGCCTGGGTCACCCCGGCCCGGCCTGCGGGCCCCACGCGTTTCAGGAGTTCCCCCTCAAGCTGCCTTTGCCGCTGCCCGGGAGCCAATGGCCCCCGCTGAGCCCTCGCCACCGCCTTCGCCCGCCGCCGCGCCCCCGGTCAGCGCTCCATCACTGCCCGCACTGCGCAGGCGCGCGCTCCCGCAGCATTATGGGAAGTGTAGTCCAACTCATGGGTTCCAGAGTCTGGGAATGGGTTTGACTCCCGGCCCTGCTGCATAACCTGAAGGTCACCCTGGGTCCTCCCAGACCTCAGTCTCCCCGCTTTCTCGCTCACAACCCTTTTTCCTTTGCTATTTTATTTTTTTGTCGGTCGTGGGCTTGAATTCTGGGCCTGGGCGCTGTCCCTGAGCTCTTCAGCTGAGTGCTCTACCCCTTGAGCCACAGCGCCACTTCTGGTTTTCTGGTGGTTTATTGGAGATAAGAGTCTCATGGACTTTCCTGCCTGCGCTGGCTTTGAACCATGATCCTCAGATCAGCCTCCTGCCTAGCTAGGATTCTAGGCATGAGCCACCAGCGTCTGCTCCTTTGCTATTCTAACGGGGATCCAAGATGCCAACTCCCAAGGTCTGGCCTTGATGACACACTGAGAAGCCACAGACTTCATCTAAGCAGGCATCCACCCTCCAAAGTTCTCTTTTCTTTTTAAGACACAACCAACCTCCTGCACATCCACAAAGCCCCAGACTGTCCCCTACTTTTCCTTTTTTTTTTTTTTTTCTTTTTTTCCAGTCCTAAGGCTTGAACTCAAGGCCTGGACACTTCTTTTTTTTTAATTTAATTTAATTTTATTTGAGAACATACTGTACAGAGGGGTTACAATTACTTGGGCAGGATAATGCATACATTTCTTACCAAGCATTGCAGCCTCCTCCTTTGTTTACCCTTCACCTCCCTTCCCCTGAGCTTCTTTTGCTCAAGGATAACACTCTACGATTTGAGCCACAGCACCACTTCTGGCTTTTTCTATTATGTGGTAGTGAGGAGTGGAACCCAGGGCTTCATGCATACTAGGCAAGCACTCTGCCACTAAACCACATTCCAGCCCTTTTTTTCTTCTTATGATGCAACCAAACTCTTGCACATCCCACAAAGCCCAAGACTCTCCCCTGCAGAAACCTCTCCACAGTTCAGGATCTACAGGGTAATAGGGTGTCTATGGCCATTCTGTTCTCCCCTACCAATCTGACAGGTTCCTAATGGCTTTTCTGGCTAGGGGGAGGGGAGGGCGGAGCTTGGGAAAGTATGAAGACAGGCAAGAGCAGGCAGAGGGGAGGCAGGGAGGTTGTGGGGACACAGCGCCACCACGGGGAACTTGCTGTGGCTCAGAGACACCGCTGTGTGACAAACTCAGGACTTTCTCAGCTCTGAGTGAGGAAGCGGGCCATGTGCGCTTGGCTGGGACACACTGAGGTCTCTAGGCCTGCTCCCCCCCCCCACACACACAGAAAAGAAATATGAAGCATGAAAGCCACAGAAAAAGATTATTAACAAAATATTTGCACATCTGAAATACCAGAGTAAAATCTCTTGATGCAACAAATACACAAGTGAAAAAATGACATTTGGAAGTTCATAATGGAGGGTGTGTGGGGGGGTGGTTCTGGGCAGAATGTTATTGGAACATTGTGCAAAAGGTTTTTCTAGGAACCCAAATTGCAGGTAAGGCCTTCTCTCAAAATGGGGCCCACGTCCAAAATGGTCAGGCCATCTTGAACTTAGACTCCATGCCAGAAAGTGGCCTCTCATTCCCCCCTTTTCTTGTAGCTAGGGGATCCAATCATAGTCCCCTGATATCCAGTTCTATGTTCACTTCATCTACAGGCCGATATTGAGACCTGAGTATCATCAGCTGCACCGTATGGATCCACTCCTTTAGAAATGTAACTAATCTATGAAGCACACAGGGTCCAAGCGTCAGGACAATAAGCAACACAAGCAGGGGTCCTAACAAGCTGGAAGCTAGAGTCGTCAGCCATGGGGAATTGTTAAAACAAGATTCAAACCATCCTTCCTGTTGTTCTCCTTCACACTTTTGCTTTGCAAGTCCCTCTCGAACCTTAGCCATTGACTCACAACCCCGGCGTGGTCAATGTAAAAACAACATACTTGGGCTGGGAAGGTGGCTCAGTGGTAGAGCGCTTGCCTTGCATGCCTGAGGCCCTGGGTTCGATTCCTCAGCAACACATAAGCAAAAAGAAAAAAAGCCAGAAGTGGCGCTGTGGCTCAGGTGGTAGAGCGCTCGTCTTGAGCTGAGGAGCTGAGGGACAGCGCCCAGGCCCAGAGTTCAGGCCCCACGACCCGACCCAAACAAACAAACAACATACTTCTCCTAAGGCTGCACAGAGTCCCCCTGGTTGAAGGAAAACTAAATCGAGGCCCCTCCAGTTTTGCGATACCATCTCGGCTAGCGAGGTGAGTGACTCTTGGAGGCGAGAAATAGAACTTTCAAGTCTTTCTGTATCGAGATCAATTGAGGCCCTTAAGTCACTATAATGTTTGTTTTGGAGTACTAAGGAAGACACTCCAGAACTGCCCCCCCACCCCACTAACCCCAAGCCCAGAAGGACCGTTAGGGTGACAGCAGTTATCATTTCCCTTTTTGCTCGAATCTGGAGTCCTCCTAAGCGCTGATAGACTTCTTCAACTTCTTCTTCAGGATGGTAAATGAACCTAGGCACTAACTGTACCAGGACACAATAGTCTTGAGTCTGATTTAACATAGTTCCATAAATGCAAGGGGCAGGTCCAGTGGCACAAGCCCACCACCCATCTTCAGGGGGTAAAGTATATTTTCCAGTTACCGCCTGTTCTGTCTGCATAAATGGTGGTATTGGGAAGGTACCTTTGCTACACATAATCCCTGCCCGGCTATTGACTGTAGGGTGAGCTTGACATTTCCTTTTGGTTGCCAGCGGCACTGCTCTATTTTATCAGCTTCGGTATAGTATCCCACTATGGCTATTCCCTCCTAGAAAGAAGGTTTAACATCACAGCAAAGCCAGCAAGATTTGGTAAGTTCCGGCCTAGAAGCGTTAATAACCTGGAAGGCACTGACCAAGAGGTCCCATAGAAGGTCTCCTCCCAAAGTGGGATGGGATCACTTATTAGGTTTTTCTTAGTGACCCTGGGGGGGAGGGGGGGCTTGGCATCCTGTACCAGTCAAGCCTGTAAGGTTGGTGCTAAAACCGGGTTGGATCCCAGAGATTGAGTTTTTAAGAAGCCGGAGGGTAAAGAGAAGGCCTGCATTCCCCGTAGGGAGATATCCTGTGTTTCTTAAGTACCATTTCCAGCGTCGGAGGCCCCAAGTCTTACCTAATTCCCAGGTCTCGTCTTTCTTCCCTCTATCTGTGAACTTAAGCCGGATCTTTTGCCAAACCCTAGTGGTTTCTATTAGATCTCCTCCCTTAGCCTTCCACTCTGTAGCGAAAGTCTCACACCCCCAGTAGGCACAGTAGTAATCTTGGGCCCCCCCCACAGGAAGCAGAGCACTTCAGCTCAGGGCAGAGATAAAATGAACAGTACACACATCTGGGGGTACCATCACCAAGACCGGTGGTGAGTATGGATGAACTCTCTGTTAGCTAACACAGGTCAAAGGTCAAGTCAGGGAACCAAGAATTGAACCAGAGGTCCAATTTGGGACTGGAGGACTTGTTGCCTTCCAGTCCCAGGATTGCTGATTACCCATGTCCAATTTGAGGGAGTAGGGGGTGCTAAAGTTACTTAACACGGGGGCCAGCTGCAAGAAAAGAAACAGAGTCGCTATGGCCCAGTCCGCAAGAGCATGAGCTTGAGAGGATTGTCTTGGCTGTGGGACACTTGCCATGGTGGTATGAAGTCTTCTTTCACGGTGAAGGGGTCAGGTTTCCCTCCAGGTGGTGCTTCACAGAGACCCAGTCTCCCGGTTAGAAGCAGTGAGGTTCAGGGGAAGGTCCTGTGTTGGAGAGGACCTTTCCTTAAGGCCTGATCTCCTGGCCCACTGTAAGGCCCTGAGGGAGTGTGACAAAAGTTCATAAGCATCAAATTCAGTTAACAGGTGTGACTGCAAATTGGAGATAATAGGAGGGGGAATTCCCAACATAATTTCAAAAGTAGTTAATCCTATTTTATAGGGAGAGTTATGCACCCTGTAGAGAGTGTATGGAAGGAGAGACATCGGGTCTCCGCCAGTCTCCATGATCAATTTGGTTAGGGTCTCTTTTAGAGTTCTATTCATCCTTTCTACCTGTCTTGAGCTTTGGGGTCCATATGCACAATGTAACTTCCAATCAGTCCCAAGAATAGACATTAAACCCTGTTATCTTAGAACAAATGCGGGTCTGTTGTCTGACCCTCTCATTGGGGGGGGGACATACCTGTCTTCCACTAGTTTTCCTGGCTACAATCTGTGCTGTCTCATGCTTTGCAGGGAAGGCCTCCACCCATCCTGAAAAAGTATCCACAAAACCTAGCAGATATTTATAACCATATTTACCAGGTTTTACCTCAGTGAAGTCCACTTCCCAGTATGCTCCAGGCTTGTGGCCCCTCAACCTGGAACCAAGGTTTGATGAATTACGGGTAGCATTAGTCAGCTGGCAAGCTTGGCATTTAGTGACCATCCGCTCGATTTTTGAGTTTATATTTTTGAAGCTGATCTTAGCATGTCTCAACAGGTCCTGCATTTTTCTCATGCCCATATGCGTGGAAGCATGCATTTTAAGCAGGACCTGGTCTCCCAGCTTTTCAGGTAGACTCACGCTGCTGTTTGAATCTCACCACCATCCAAGTAAGCAATGAGCCATGGGTAAATCGATAGTCCATTCCAGATCCTCTTGGGCATAGTTGGGGGTCTCAGGAAGGTGCCTTAGACCCAGGGTCAGGTAAAGTAGCTACCAGAGCTCAGCCTACTTGGAGGGCTACCTCTTGTGCAGTTTTGTCTGCAAAATTGTTTCCCTGTGACACAGGACCTTTAGATTTTTTGGTGTCCGGGACAATGCACTATGGCCAATTTCTTTGTGGTTTTTTTTTTGTTTTGTTTTTTTGGGGTCCGGCCGTGGGGCCTGAACTCTGGGCCTGCACGCTGTCCCTCAGCTCTTCAGCTCAAGGAGAGCGCTCTACCACTTGAGCCACAGTGCCACTTCCGGTTTTCTGAAGGTGTGGGTGAATCGGGCCTTGCTAAGCCAGCAGTCAGGTAGGTGTTTAAGGACTCCCTCGATGGCAATGATGTACAGCTCCTGTCCCAGAGCAAGTACATCAGCATCTTTGACTGCAGGGCAGTGGTGCTATCATCTACAGACAGGGAGATGGCCCAGCAGCCACAGGACCTAATTTCTTGGAGAGATAGGCTACCGGTCTCCGCCAGGGGCCCAGGTATTGGGTGAGCACTCCTTTGGCTATGCCTTTTGTGCTCATCCACACACAGATAGAAGGATTTTGTCACATCAGGTAGCCCAAGAGTGGAAGCTAATAGCAGGGCCGTCTTAATCTGTTTGAAGGATTTTTCTACATTGTCAGTCCAGAGCCATTGCTGTCCCTCTTTAGTGGCTGCATACAGGGGCTTAGCCCAACTTAGCAAACCCGGAGATCCATCGTCTACAGAAGCCAGCTGACCCCAAGAATTCTCATCCCTGATGAGGGCTCTGTGGTCTGGGGATTTTGAGCACAGTTTCTTTCCTCACCTTGGTTAGCCACCTCCAGCCTTCAGCAGTATCTCAGAGTTTACCTCAGGTTTACAGATCTGAGCCCTCTTGTTGGTACCCCCAAGTCTCCCAGAGTCTGGAGTAAGTCTTTTGTCCCCTGTAGGCCCATTTCGTAACTCTCAGCTGCCATCAAAAGGTTATCTCCATACTGCAAGAGCATCGTGAGGGAGAATGAAACTCACCCATGTCTTCATGAAGCGCGTTGTCAAAGATGGTGGGCGATTTCTTGAATCCCTGAGGTAATCTAGTCCAGGTCAGCTGCCCGTGAATGCCCTTTACAGGGTCAGTCCATTCAAAGGCAAACAGCTCTGGACTCTTTGGAGCCAGGGGCAGACTAAAAAGGGCATCTTTTAAATCTAGGACAGCATCCCACTGCTAGTCTGGTGGCAAGGAACTGAGAAGAGGGTAGGGATTCAGGACTGGGGGATGTATGTCCATCACCCACTTGTTTGCTTCTCTTAGATCTTGGGCTGACCAGTCATCATTAGACTGCGGTTTGTGAACTGTCAACAACGGGGTATTCCAAGCAGACTGGCAGGGCCCTAGCATCCCCAGCTCTAGTAGGCGCCAGAAATGGGGTGTGATCCCCACCTGGGTCTCTAGTGGTGTAGGATACTGTCAAACTCTAACCGGATCCTCCCTAGACTTTAATTCTATGTAGACCGCAAGTCTGCGCGTTGCTAGTCCCATTTCCCCAAGTCTCTCCCCAGACCTCAGGAAATGTTTGTAACCAAGAGTCTAGGTTGCCTGTTGGTGGCAGCGGTGGTGGATGCAGTGGATATTCATCCTCCAGATTAAGAGTTAAAACCTGGGTGGGACAGCTTCGAAGATCCAGAACCAAAGTTCCGTCTGGTTGGAAGTGAATTTGAGCTCCTGTTTTGGTGAGCAGGTTCCCCGCCCCAATAGGGGGCACTCTGGGATGACCACGAATGAGTCCATGCGTAGGTCCACTGTTCTTTGGGGAGTCTACGAGTATCAGATCATCAGGGTGGCTCCCTGTACCCAAGAGATTTTGCCAGATCCTTTGCCTTGGAGTACAAGGGGGATTGAACGTTGAGGTCCAGTGTCCACCAAAAAGTCAATTGGAGTCCCCTCCACTCTGAGGGTTACCCTGGGCTTGGGAGCGGGGGAAAGGGTGTTGGGGGTGAGGCGGAACCCCGTCTTCCCTAGTCACTGAGCTCACCCATCTCCGTGACCAATACACAGTGGGGGTTGTGCCCCGACTCTTAGGTTTTCCGCTTAGGTTCCTAGGGCAGTTCTTAGCCAATGTCCTGTTTCCTTACAAGAGGCACCTGGTTCTCTTTGTAACCTGGGGTGAGCATCCCTACCCTGCTTGGTCTTCCGCCAGGTCTTGCAGTTGGCGTCGCTTCTCATCTGAAGATCCGGCGGTGGCTGCTAGGAGGATCCTAGCCATGCCATGCCTCGCACTCTGGCCCTCCTCCCTGCAGCCCTGACTCTCACCTGACTTTCCCCCCGGGGTTTCTCTATTGTTATCTACTCTTTCTGCTACTGCCATCCAGTCCTGCAAACTCTTCTCTCCACCAGCCTTTCTGCCCTCTGTCACTTCGGGATCCATGGGGGTGTACCCTGAAATGCCACCATGACCCTTTCCAGGAAGGCAGCCGGACTCTCATCTCTACCTTGGCCAAATTGGTGGGCTTTTGAGCAGCTGCTTTGAGACCCGCCATTAAGAGTCTTGCCATAGACCCTGAGCCTCTCCTTACCATCAGCAGTATTGAAGTCCCAGGTAGGAGGGCGACTGAAAGGAAAGGTGTTGTTAATAAAGTCAGGGTTGAGCCGGGCGCTGGTGGCTCACGCCTGTCATCCTAGCTACTCAGGAGGCTGAGAGCTGAGGATTGAGGTTCAAAGCCAGCCTGGGCAGGAGAGTCCATGAGACTCTTCTCTCCAATGAACCACCAGAAAACTGGAGGTGGCGCTGTGGCTCAAGCGGCAGAGCCCTTGCCTTGAGCTGAGGGACAGCGCCCAGGCCCCGAGTTCAAGCCCCACGACTAAATAAATAAATAACATCAGGGTTAGCGGTGGTTTGCCTGTCCTTAGGTCAGGATTCCTTCACGCTCCTGGAGGAGCCGTTAGCAGTCATTCCAGGTAGGCTGATGAGTAAACAAGACAGTATCTAGGAGGCTAATTAGATCTGTAGGCTTGTCAGAGATGTAAAGTCGGCTCCAGGATGGCCAGCAGACTCCACCCTCCTCGCAGCAAAGTCTCCGCCCAGTACCTGCGTTACCTAGGCAACTGACACACCTGGAAGAGGTCACCTCTGTGGAGGTCACACCTGAATTCCATGTGGCCTCACCTTTCCCCCCCCCACACCCTAAAAGAGGCTTAGCCCAGGGCCAGACACTCTCTTTCCCAGGTCTCTCCCAGCCGCATGGATGGCCAACATGGCCTGGTGCCAGCCGGAATGATGAATCAAACTACCCCTTACCTGAATACCACGTGCGTGCTGTGGTTCTTACTCAGCTACCTCTTTTTAAAAACCTAACACGGGCATTTTGGGTTCTCTAGTGATACAGGTCACTCGTGGCGAAGGGCCAGTAGTGAAGGGGTTGGTTACCAGTTAAATCAGGAGGTCCAGCAGCCGCAAGGGGAGGACAATGGCCGAATCTGGGGGGGCCTGAGGGGCAGGAGGAACAGCCCCAAGTGTCCTCTTGATGTGGTGGAGGACGCAAAGATGGAATACGATATTTCACTTGGATTGTGTAAAATGGATAATGAATGATTGCGAGATATAAATGTAAGTGTGCTGTGGCTAAGACTTTCCTGGTAACATTACTTTAGCTAGTAACTGTAATTGTCACTCTGTAACTCCATAACCCTGCCACTCTGTAACTCTGTAACCGTGTAACTCTGCTTCTGCTGTTTTCTGAGCTGAACCATCACCACCCTTCTTCTATTCCCTTGCTTCCTACCAGCAAAACCTTGGCGGGAAATTTAAACGGAAGGTGCACATTTCTTGTAACAATCATTGGCTAAAACCAACACCCAGCCTCCCCCTTTCCCCCTAGCCCCAAATGCTTAAAAGCCCATATGGGCTGGCCCTCAGGGCCATTTCCTGGGATCCCAACTCCAGTGCGGTCCTGGCCCATCAGCACTTTTCCCTCAATATAACCTTTTACATTTTCCTGCCCCTCCCTACTATGCTCCCCCCTCCCCCCCAGTCCCTGCCGCCCCTCCCCCCCCACCGGGCAATGGTGGCAGTTCAGCTGCAGCGTTTCCTGGTGCTAATGTTGGCTGATCAGGGGGAGGGAAAAGTTAGCTCTTCCTACGTACCACCCTGCAGGACTGGGTAGGGAGGTGCTGAGGGTTTGGTTTTGGTTCGTCCCGGTTTACTGGGGTGATCCTGGACTGCAAGAATTTTCTTGGGCAGCTGCCTCTGTGGGAGCATGAGAGGTTTCAGCCAGAAAAGGGCGGGGGGGGGGGGGGGTGAGATCCCAACTAAGTCTTGCCAAACTAAAATACATGGATGGGATCTGGTCGGGATGGCCATGTGGTCCTGGAATGAAAACCATTCCTTTTACTTTGAACACAGCCCAGAGGTCCAAAGTTCCTTCAGCAGCCTATTCCCTCCCCCCAAGGGTGGTCCACTCCAACCTACAAAAAATGATTTGTTTTCCCTTTCTGATTTCAACATGTAGTACCCAGAGTCCGGAGACCCCCAAAAGACCACCAGAGACTACGATCAATGCAAGCAGCATAGAGTCGTTTATTGCAAGCTCGAGTTAGGTCCTCCACACACTCGGTAACAGGTGATGCTAAGAGGCTCCGAGCACTGGTTCGTCACACTTTTTTTAACACTCAGTAAACAGGTTACAGGAAATGTCATAAGGGTAGCAAATCATCATACACGCGGAATAACCCTAACACCCAAATCATCAAATCATAACCCTAACACCCAATTGGCACACTCAAAAATAAAGCTGCGATGCAAGCTGGGGGTTGGACAGTTTAAAGCTGATGTGTTTCATTTGAATTGGTGCAGTACTAGAGGCCGGTCCAGCCATCAAGTTCGTGGTTTATTTATTTATTTGGGTCCGGTCGTGGGGCCTGAACTCTGGGCCTGGGCGCCGTCCCTCAGCTCTTCAGCTCAAGGTGAGCGCTCTACCACTTGAGCCACAGCGCCACTTCTGGCTTTTTAGTTTTCTGCTTATGTGGTGCCGAGGAATCGAACCCAGGGCCTCATGCATGCAAGGCAAGCGCTCTACCACTGAGCTACCTTCCCAGCCCCAAGTTCATGGTTTTTATCAGTGAATACCAGTTCCTGTTGTTGTTTCCTTATTCAAAATATTTGTCAACACTGTGTAAATATTTATCAGCACTCCAGGTAAGGCGGCATTACCCACGTCTTGTTTACAGGAAACTAAGCAAACTTTACTGAGCAACAAGCAAGTACATAAGCAAAACAAGCAATTAATCCGTTTCCTTTCCTCTTTCATTCCCCCCTTTCAATGGATCATTTTGTAGTCAATCTTGACTTATGTGTCTGATTCTGCCATCTCTGGATCCAAATTCAAATACTGGGCCCTTAGAACCAGCAACTGAACGGCATTTATTCTATCCTTAACAAAAGCAATCAACTTGTTAATAATGCAGGGTCCTATGGTTAAAGCGAGCAATAGTATCATAAGGGGCCCAATTAAGGCAGAAAGCAAAGTTGTCAACCAGGGAGAGTAATTAAACCAGGACTCAAACCATCCCTGTCTGGATTCGTATTCTTTTTGTCCTCTTTTCTAGTCCCTCCCGGACTTTTGCCATGTTATCCTTAACTATTCCTGAGTAGTTTTATGTAAAAACAGCATTCCTCTCTCAGGGCTACACAAAGTCCTCCTTGTTGTATAAATAAGAGGTCTAAGCCCCTCCAGTTCTGAAGTACTACTTCTGACCGAGAGGTTAGAGACTTTTGCAGGTATGATATGGATTCTGCTATCCTCTTTATGTCCTCATCAATGGCCATCCTTAAAGCATTATAGGAATTTTTCTGACTAATGAGGCTACACCTGTCCCGAGTCTCCCTAAACTTGCCCCTAATAAGAGGCCGTTAAGGACTCTCTTTTTCTCTGGGGGGCGAAACTGTCTCCAGGTCGAGACTTTTTCCAGTCATCTTTCCAATGGTCAAGAAACTGGGAATTTGGATAAGTTATGGTGGGAATCAGGCGTATCAACACACAAGTATGGTTTGAGTTTGAGAAAACAAGAGTGACTCTATCTTGCTCAGACAACTTTTTGCCTTTGTTCTAAACCATGCTGGCCAAGATGTTTTTTAGAAGTGTCATTGTATGGAGAGGTATTATGTTGAAATTGACCAGAACCTGCACAGATTACGGAAAGAGGTTGTTTAAACTGAAACCATCAGACCCTAACGACCCCCCCCCCCCACACACACACACAGGTGACCCATCCGGTTCTGTAACCTCCTGCTGACGCTAACCACCCTGGAATGTTACCCCTAGCCCCGAGCCAATCAGATTTGTATTCACATGTAATTCTGTTTGAATACCTGGATAATGTATCTTTTTGTCACCTTGTGGTTTTTGCCTTTATAAACCCTGCTGGAATGTGGCTCGGGGTCTCCTCCCTCCCTATGCTCTGTCAGTGTGTGGGATGAGGCCCGAGCCTTGGCTTGTTCTGAATAAACCTTGCGTTTTGCAGTTTGAGTGTCTGAGTCTCTGGTGGTCTTTGAAGAGTGGGCATTTCAAGTTGTTGTAAAACAGTGGTGTGCACACAGGGGGTTAGCCCTGCTTTAGAGCAGGCCCACCAAGCATCATTTGGGGGGACCAAGTAACTATTCACCTGTTTTTGCGTGGAGTTGCACAAGGGGGCCGTTTCTTTGCTCACTTCCCCGGCACACTCCGGGTCCCTATTATTTTAGTTACTGTGAGTCCTACCTTCGATTTCCATCTGCAGGATGGCACCTCACTTGATACAGTAACATTGTCCTGAGCTGCAATTCCTTCATAATAGGGGAGCATGCTATCATCACATAACCAGCCAGACCTCGTTTTCTTAGGCTGAGTCTGGTTCAGTACTAAAAAGGACTTTTGCATTAACTTTACAAGTGGGTGGTGGGGTAAGTAAGCGGGGGCAGATGCCTGGGTTTGGGGACCAAGGCTGGTCTGAATGTCAATAGATGACGGCGTGGAAGGGACTGGTCCAGACACTAGGATGGTCCTAGGAGTAGGCCCAACCACAGGGTTTAAGATAAGGTTGGGTCCCACTGCCACCGGCGGTCAATCCCAGGACTTAATGACCTGGAGTGTCAAAAGTATCCCTTCATGGTTACCCCCGGGCCTGTACAGCCTAAGTCCCCAGGACTTCCCCAGCTCCCATCCTCCAGCCTTTTCCCCTAGTTCAGTAAATTGAATTCTGATCTTAGAATTCTGTGAGCTACTTTTAGTAAAACCAACAAGGTCTCCTCCTTTCCCCCTCCACCAAGTGGATGTGCTGGTCTCGCACCCCCATTTCTTACAATAATAGTCACTGGGGCCTCCGCAACTATCAGTTCTTTTCCCTCCAGGGCATACATACCAGTTTCGCCACCGGCACTCCGGGTAGGAATCTTGTTTGGTCCAACTAGTGCGGGCCCACGACCCTTCAGCTAATTGGCATAAATCAAAAAATAAGTCTGGAAACTGGGGTAGGGGTCCATGAGTGGATATAAGAGTTAGTCTCTTCCCCGTCTCAGGATTTTTAACAATCCAAGTCCAAGTATAGGGGTAATGGGGATTACTATCAGCATAAGCGTTGATGAAAACATTGCTCAGAAACATCAAGGTTAAAGACAACATGGTCACAGCTCAGTTCTTCCGCTCCCGACGCAGCGTCAGTTTTAAGGAGTTATCTCTGGTCCGGTTGACTGTCCAAGCCGGGCTCGATCAAGTCCAGGAACGGGTCTGCTTGCTTGGCGTGGGTGTGGTGAATCCAGATGGCCACTCCATCTACTTTGAGAGCGGTGGGCGTCGTCAGAATAACCTGGAATGGTCCTTTCCACCTGGGTTCCAAGTTCTCCTGCCAGTGTTGTTTAACAAGCACCCAGTCTCCCAGTCTATACTGGTGGGGTACTGGTGGAGGCCCAGTTTCGTACAGTTCCCTCAACTTTGGCCATACTTCTTCATGAACCCTTTGTAAGGCTGGTAAAGAAAATGGAAGTTTATCATGCATTTGAAATGAGATGCAAAGGCATTGGCATATGTAAATACGGACCTTTTAAAATTAAAACGTTACTGGAGATGCTTTCAGCTCAGCAACATCTTAGCTATTTGTTAGCTCTTTTGTGTTGTCTCATCAGAGTTCAATGGAGACGCTTCCGTAATTGTTGATGTGTTTGTGTATACATTCAATTTTTATAAAGATGGAAGTAAGTCAAAAAAAAAATGAAAGTTTAGAATCATCCTCGACCTTGAGGAGCCGTTCAGACAAGTCAGGGAGTAGGGGGGGTGGTGTCCCGAACATTATTTCATATGGAGTAAGGCCTATTTTAAAAGGGGAAATATGGGGGCTGGGAAGGTGGCTCAGTGGTAGAGCGCTTGCCTTGCATGCCTGAGGCCCTGGGTTCGATTCCTCAGCACCACATAAGCAAAAATGAAAAAAGCCGGAAGTGGTGCTGTGGCTTGAGTGGTAGAGCGCTGGCCTTGAGCTGAAGAGCTGAGGGACAGCGCCCAGGGCCAGAGTTCAGGCCCCACGACCGGACCCAAAAATAAAATAAAATAAATAAAAGGGGAATTTTGGACTCTACACAGAGCATAGGGAAGGAGGGCCACCCAGTCACCGCCAGTCTCCATGGTCATATTAGTCAGGGTCTCTTTTAGAGTTCTATTCATCCCCTCTACCTGTCCAGAACTCTGGGGCCTGTAAGCACAATGTAGTTTCCAATTGCCCCCAAGCACAGAAGCAAGTCCCTGGCTTACCTTGGAGACGAAAGCAGGTCCATTGTCTGATCCTATCCTTACAGGAAAGCCATACCTGGGCGGGATGTCTTCTAATATCTTTCTGGCTACCACCCATGCAGTCTCACGCTTAGTTGGAAAGGCCTCTATCCAGCCTGAAAAGATATCTATAAAAACTAACAAATACTTATACCCATACTTCCCGGGTTTAACCTCAGTGAAGTCGACCTCCCAGTAAACTCCTGGCCTGTCTCCTCTCTCCCGGCTCCCTGGCTCCTGATGGCTCTGCCCTGCATCTGTCAATTGGCAGGCTTTGCACTCCCTAACAATCTGCTCTATCTTTTCATAAACACCTTTAACTCTTAGTCCCGGGTGCCGCACCAAGTCCTTCATACTCTTTGTTCCTCTTTCAAACACTCTGGTGGTAGGCTCTTTAACAGCAAGTACAGGATATATTCCTTCATGTACTTCCCTTAAGATTAAGGGAACAAAAGTCATTTTGGGGGAAACGAAGCAGGGTAACTTATGGAAACAGAGGCCTGGAGTAGGCAACTAAGAAATATGTTACCTAAAAACTTAGAAATGCTATCTTTGCTTCAAAGAGAGGCAACGGAATGCATTCTTTCCTAAGGGATGCATTTCCCACCCAACCATTCCCAACTGCCTGACAGGATGCCCCCAAATGCAGATAGGAGGGTGTCTCCTTGTTTCAAGGGTAAGGATCTGTTTTATGGCAGGCTGCATTCTTACCTGGAATACCAGGTGTAGTTAAAGCAAAGACAAAGCACCTAGCTTTGCATAACTTAAAGCCAGACCCCCTGCTTTTACTCTGTAAATATCCAACAGCCCAAGGAGCTGTGAGTCTCTCTGGGTGTCTCCTTGTCTGTCTGTGTGTCCGTGTCTTTGTGTCCCTATGAGATCACCCACACTCTGCTAGCGTGTGCCCCTGTCCTTCTGTTTGCCTGCTTTTTTTGTCTGTCTGTTTCCTTGCTCGCTTACTTAATAAAGCTCTGCCAAGTTTTCTTACCATGTGACTTGTCCAGAAATTCTTATTCTGCGATTGAAAGTCAAGAACCCTAAGTGAAGAGTTCCTATATGTAAAGGGGAGCTTCACGAATCCTCATCTCTGTCCAGTGATAAAAATAAAAAGCAACCGACAAACAGAAACAAAACTGACAACAGAGAGACAAACAGCTAATCGACCGGAGGCAGAACCGAAAGTAGAACGCCGGCCTCACGCCCCTCCGCTTCGTCCCGCCAGAAATTCCAGGGGAGTGAGGGGATTCCACGTCCCTCCAGGAGGGTCTGGACCGTCTTCCAAGACCCTGGGTGGACGACCCACCCTTAGGCCTTAGGCCAACCTGCACAGGTACAGATATCGGGCCCCAGAAACAAAGCAACAAAACGAAAGAAAGCAGACAATGAGACTCACCAATCAGCAGTAGACTCTCCGGTTTGGGGGTCCTGTTATGCCCAGATCGTGGATCCCCAAAGACCGCCAAGGAGTCCAATCTGATGCAAGCACACGAGAGCCGTTTATTGCAAGCTCGAGTCTGGACTCACAACCCTTACTGACGCAGCAGGTCAGAGTTGAGAGCCCCGACCCCGCATTACACAAGGTTTGGATAGGTTAAGAAGTTAGGTTGAGGGTATTTCCAGTGTAGCAACTACATGATTGGTTAACATATAGCAAGCCAGTCTTGTCACACTCTTATTGGCTGGGCTGCAGGGGTGGGCTAAACCGCAGGAATGTTAGCAATGCTATCTTTTGTTGTTTTGGTTTGGTTTGGTTGGCCCTGAGTCTTGAACTCTAGACCTGGGTGCTGTTCCTGAGCTCTTCAGCTCAAGGCTAGTGCTCTACCACTTGAGCCAGAGCACCACTTCCAGTTTTCTGAGCAGTTACTGGAGATAAGAGTTTCTCGATCAGGCGATGGTGGCTCATGCCTGTCATTCTAGCTACTCAGGAGGCTGAGATCTGAGGATTGAGGTTCAAAGCCAGCCGGGGCAGGAAAGACTGGGAGACTCTTATCTCCAATAAACCACTCAGAAAACTGGAAGTGGTGCTGTGGCTCAAGTGGTAGAGCGCTAGCCTTGAGCTAAAGAGCTGAGGGACAGCGCCCAGGCCCAGAGTTCAAGTCCCATGACTGAAAAAAAAAAAGTTTCTTGGACATTCCTGCCCCGGCTGGCTTTGAACTGCAGTCCTCAGATCTCAGCCCCCTGAGTAGCTGGAATTACAGGAGTGAGCCACTTACACTTGGCTCCTCTTCCTGTCTTTCTACATCCTATCAAACATTTTTTTTTTTTTTGTCGGTCCTGGGGCTTGAACTCTAGGCCTGGGTGCTGTCCCTCAGCTCTTCAGCTCAAGGCAAGCGCTCTACCACTTGAGCTACAGCGCCACTTCCGGTTTTCTGGTGGTTTATTGGAGATAGGAGTCTCACGGTCTTTCCTGCCCGGGCTGGCTTTGAACCGCGATCCTCAAATCTCAGTCTCCTGAGTAGCTAGGATTACAGGCGTGAGCCACCGGCGCCCGGCTCTATCAAACATTTTTACAGTCTATCTGGCACTGAAAATGTCACAGGATCTCAAATGAGTCTCTACAGGGCTGCTTGGGGTCTTCATCATGGAAAGAAGGTGGAACAGTCCCCAAAAATAAAGTTTGGGGCAGGGGAGGGTGTGGTAAGAGGGAGGTTCTCCGATTCTGAGAACTGCTGTACCCCGAAGTCTTTCCAACTCATCAGAGCAATGGCAGAACATTCCAGAAGCCAAAATGGAGAGCAGTGGATTCTCAAAGCTGGACAGAAATCACAAAGCCAGCCACAACACCTTCCAGAGGAGGGCGGGCCACGCTGAACCCCGCCTTGACCTCCTCTTACTGGCCAGGTCCCTTCTCCTCCCCGCCCCCCCAATGCCTGGCTCCTGTCACCCTGTGCACATGCCCAGCCCCCATCGGAGGCCCTGTCCAGCACTGACCAGCTGGCCAGGGCACGTGGCCGCTTCTAGGGTGCAGTTGGGCTTTGTGGCCTGCCACCCCCCGCCACGGGCTGCGGTGGGGGCACAGCTATTGGGGTGGGCAGTGAGGTGCCAGGCCGTGCTATGGCAGCTGCCAGGGAAAAGAAGCGGCGGGCACGGCTCCAGGCCCATGCAGCTGGCATCTCAGGCCTCAGCAGAGCCTGCGTGTGGAGAAGGTTTTGGGGGGAGTCAGGGGGCCCCACATTAGTCACAGCACCTGCAGCTTGGGGCTGGAGCTCCTGCTAACTGTACAGCCCTGGATTCGAAAGCTCAGCAGTTCTCACAGATTTTCTGCACGTTTCCTGGCAGTCACTAGACCTCTCCTGGTGGAGTTAAGCTTCCCTGGTTCAGACACACAGACACAGGACCCCCGGTGAGAGGGTGGTGTGTCTCCAGACTCCAGGGGCTCTTTGTTGTCTTTGGCTGGCCTGGGAGCAGGGATGCTGTGGCTCAGGCCTGTCATCCTAGCTACTCAGGAGACTGAGATCTGGGGATCACAATTCAAAGCCAGCCTGGGTAGGAAAGTCCGTGAGACTCTTATCTCCAGTTAACCACCAAAAAAAAAAAAAAAACAAAAGTGGCACTGTGGCTCAAGTGGTAGAGCACTAACCTTGAGCCAAAGAAGCTCAGAGACAGTGTCCAGGCCCTGAGTTCAAGCCCCAGCACTGGCCAAAAAAAAAAAAAAAAAGTCATGGACTTTCGTGCCCCAGCTGGTTTTGAAAGGTGACCCTCAGATCTCAGCCTCCTGAGCACCACGGATAGCAGGCGTGAGCAGCAGGCGTGAGCACCAGTGCCCAGCTGAGTCATAGATTGTTTCTTCCCTTGTGATGGCCTCCATCTTCTCAGGTGAGCCCCTCCCCAACCTCCCAGCTCCCTTCCCCTTTCTGGCCAGGGGTCCTGAGGGCCTTTCCCCTTCAAACCATCTTCTGTCTCCCTAGGGGTCTTGGCGGTGCTGGCCGTGGCAGGCCCTGGTGGTGGCGCTGGGCGCAGGAATCTGGGGCCACCTTTGCTGCCACCAGGACTCTGCCCAACCACCCAGGTACCAGGACAGCGCCCGGAACCCAGGTGTGGGTGTCTGCGGGTGCGGCCCCATGTGGCAGCTCCTGGAACTGCAGGTGTTAGACTTCTGCAAAGAGAGCAGAGACATGGAGAAAAACCTACATTTTTTCTCAAAAATACACAGGAAGCTCCCAGTAGTGGGGAAGGGAGGACCAGTATCTTCATTTATTTCTTTCTTTCTTTTTTTTTTTTTTGGTCGGTCCTGGGGCTTGAACTCTGGGCCTGGGCGCTGTCCCTCAGCTCTTCAGCTCAAGGCGAGTGCTCTACCACTTGAGCCACAGCGCCACTTCCGGTTTTCTGGTGGTTTATTGGAGATAGGAGTCTCACGGTCTCTCCTGCCCGGGCTGGCTTTGAACCGTGATCCTCAGATCTCAGCCTCCTGAGTAGCTAGGATTACAGGCGTGAGCCACCAGCGCCCGGCTCTTTCTTTATATTTTTGATTTTTAATATACATTTTTTATTGTAAAGATACTATAGAGAGGGGTTACAGTTACATGAGTGAGGTAATGAATACATTTCCTATCAAGCATTGTTACACCTCTCTCTCTATATATATATATAGAGAGAGAGAGAGAGAAAGAGATGATAGATAGATAGATAGATAGATAGATAGATAGATATCAGTACTGGGGCTTGAACTCAGGGCCTGGGCACTGTCCTTGAGCTTTTTTGCAAACAGCTGGTGCTCTGTCACTTAAGTCACAGTGCCACTTATGGCTTCTTCTGTGGTTCATTGGAAGATAAGAATCTCCTGGACTTTTTTTTTTTTTTTTTTTGCTTGCCAGTTGTAAGGCTTGAACTCAGGGTCTGGAAGCTGTCCCTGAGCTTCTTTTGCTCAAGGCTAGACTCTACCAGTTGAGCCACAGCACTACTTCTGGCTTTTTCTGTGTATGTGGTACTGAGGAATCGAACCAGGGCTTCATGCATGCTAGGCAAGCACTCTACCACTAAGCCACATTCCCAGCCCTAAGGTGTGGCCCAGGCTGGTCTCGAACTCCTGATTCCCATGGCTCATCCTCCTCATTGATTACCGGTGTGTGCCACCACAGCCAACTTCTTGATTTGCATCCTCTCCCCTTCCCCCTACTCCAATGTCTTCCACCAGCCCCGAGGAGACCCCCCCCCCTCCTCCAGAAGAGTGAGGCCTGCAGCACAGAAGTTGCTGTATACCCCAGGACAGACCTGAAACTTCAGATGGTCTATGCAACCTCTGCCTCAGCCTCTCTTCCCTCCTAGGCCTCATACCCAGCCCCAGGCCCAGACACCCCATCTCCCTTGACCCCATCAGTCCCAGGCCCAGAACAATCCCTAAAGTCAGAAGTAGAATTGAAGCTGGCAAATGTCCATTAGCTATGGGAGAATGTCCCTACTCTCAAGTATGTGGGGGGAGAAGACAATGATCCCTTCCTGAGACCCCAGGACACTCAAGAAAGGCTTTGGCAGCTATTTTAGAGTGCTGAGAACATTTGTAGGGTTTTTTTCAAGGGGGGGGGAGGTTCCTAGGCCCCTAGGATTAGCTGCAGAGGCCTCTATGACCAGTGGACATACTCTGTGACAACTCCTTCTTCAATCTGCAGACGCCGGTGGCTCACACATGTTATTCTAGCTCCTCAGGAGGCTGAGATCTGAGGATCACAGTTCAAAGCCAACCCGGGCAAGGAAAGTCCGAGAGACTCTTATCTCCAATGAACCACCAGAAACCGGAAGTGGCGCTGTGGCTCAAGTGGTAGAGCACTAGCCTTGAGCTGAAGAGCTGAGAGACAGCGCCCAGGCCCAGAGTTCAAGCCCCACAACCGACCACAAACAGAAAATAAAATCCGTAGGGACCTGTCATGTCCAAGGAACAGCCATACCCCTCTGGCTAGTGCCCATTGCTTGAAGATATCCCCCCCCTTCCCAGCCCCCAGTGTCCCCCTCATTCCCCTGCTCCCACGTCGGGGGTGGGGGTGGGGGGTGCATGGGAGAGGTCAGCATTTCCTGTCATTCTCTGCCTATCACCTTGAAGTGACACCCGCTGGGCCAGCTCCCTCCTCCACACCGGTTTCCATGGGGACAGATGTCCGTTCTGCAGATCAGACTTCACTGCAGGAGGGGCGGGGCTGGCCTGAGCACACACCCCCACCCCCAATCTGTCCACTTTTCTTTCTACCAGCTGCTCCTTTCCACGGCCACGGAGATTCATCTGCTTCCACACGAGCCTCTGGCTAGCCCAGAGAGACACTCAGGCTCAGCCGCAGAAGGGTTCCCCTGAACAAAGGCTTTGGGGATCCCTTCACCCCTTCAAGGGCCTTGATCTCTCTCCAAGCCAGCCTTCTAGGCTGTCTCCAGGGGACTGAGACAGGTTGGACGTATTGTGCCCACCCTCTCCCGTGGGGGTCAGGGGTCACCTTGGCTCCTCAGCTCAGCAAGAACATGGGAGAAAGACAAGAAGTCATTTATTGGCAGGCAGACAGTGGGTGTGGGCCCTGGATCCCAGCAGAGGGGGCCAGGCAATGTATTAGGGGCCCTCAGGGGAAGGAATCTGTGTGTCCATCT